AAATTTGCGCAGAATTTTGTTTTTGGAAAATTTGCGCAGAATTTTGTTTTTTTCATGCAGAAAACTAGTATGTGTGATAAATTATGTTATAACTATTCTCTACTTCAACATGATGATAATATTAGTTAGATGTAACTTAATGTTTTTATAACAAGTGTTTGATTGTTTAAACACCTGTCTGGCCAGTGTTTCATTGTTTTTATGGAGTATTTTATTATTTTTTGAGACCCATGCTTTGAATCTTTTGATAAATGTGTTTTCAACTTGGAAACAATTAAATGGGAATAAGTATCAAACACACTAAATGCAGATAATAAAGGCCGAAATCTTGGAGGGGAAGGCATAAATATGTGTGAAAGCAGAACTTGTTTTTGTATTCTAATATTGATCATTGGTCCATAATGACCATTACATGTAAATTAGATGAATACATGCAGTCACTAAAACTGTGCAGAATCACATTCATCAAAACACCAAGAACAAAATTCACAATTCAATTTCTCTTTTGTAAGTAAGGGTTAGCCCTGAAAAGGGCTGTTGGGTTGAAGTTAGATGGCAGTTTACATGTAGAGTTCACGGAGCAGATCAAGATGTTGTTTGGAGACATAGACCATCATCTTGGCATACTTCAGGTACATATCTCTGGTCTCCTCCAAGCACGACACACGCACTTGAAGATTAGGCAAACTCTAACTTTCCATCTCTCACAGCCCTAACTTGACGGGCCTCTAGCTGGTTGATCTCATCATTCAGGCATATAATCTGTGAGCTTGTCTTCCCATAGCGAGTTTTGATGTCCAAGAGGGCTGCCTTGATGGTAATTGCTGATGGGTAGAGCTGAGAGTAGATGCTGTTGTTGGCTAGTGTTGTCATGTTTAGCTGTGTTGTCATGTTGAGCTGTGTTGGTGATATGAGCAACTCTTGATATGGTGGGGTATTTATAATGAGTTGTGGTTGAGGATTTAGAACTGCTCAAATGTCAGATTATATCTACATGCAGATCCAGGGTCCTACTCACTTGTCATATTGTGTATTGTTTTATAGCATTAATCTTGCTCAAACATATAGCCAACCAGGCAGCTCTAATCTGTATGTTTAACACCTGATTGCAATGAGCTCTTTACTTAATCACTTTGTTATTTTATTGTTTTAAAAGTTAATCTTTCAATTTTAAGCTTTGGTTTACACAAACATATTAATTAACTTATGAACAAAAGTAATGGATGTTTTAAAAAGGTGGGATCAACATGTTTTCTAATAAAAAACATCTGGAATATTTTATTTGAAAATATATTTAAGTCTGTTTAAACACTTGCACATCAGTAGATCTCTACTCATAGGTGATTTAATTATTTAGATTAAGTCCATGATTTGTGCAGCCATGCATTCACTAATCAAAGCATTGCTGTCCAAAGATGATAAAACACTCAATAAAACAATGAAATAAGGGCCAGTCAGGTGTTTAAACAATCAAACACTTGTTGTGTAAACATTTTGCATAGATACTTGGTTTTCTGTAATTCCGGGATGGGACATTTTCAGCATTTTGCAGAATCATTGATTTTCCCAAATGAGTACCATTATGATTTTATCATGAAATTCCATCCCCATTCCATCATGTTTCAGTTCGTTTGTGATCAGCAATTCTCTCCAATAAATTGGTTGTTGATTTCTGCTTCAAGTTTCAGTATGGGATTGTAAACTTTAAACAATCAAAAATTGATATATTCATCAAGAAAATTGACTTAATCATCACTTGAAAAAAATTGCAGAATTTTGTTTTTGGAAAATTTGCGCAGAATTTTGTTTTTTTCATGCAGAAACCTAGTATGTGTGATAATTATGTTATAACTATTCTCTACAGCAACATGATAATGATATAATAATAACATAATGTTTTTATAACAAGTGTTTGATTGTTTAAACACCTGTCTGGCCAGTGTTTCATTGTATTTAGGAAGTGTTTTATTATTTTTTTGAGACTCGTGCTTTGAATGTTTTGATAAATGTGTTTTCAACTTGGAAACAATTAAATGGGAATAAGCATCGAACATACACTAAATGCAGATAAAGAAGTTGAAATATGGGAGTGGAAGGCATAAATATGTGTAAAAGCAGAACTTGTCTTTTATATTCTTATATTGACCATTGGTCCATTATGACCATTACGTGTAAAATAGATGAACACATGCAGTCACTAAACTTCTGTGCAAAACCACATTCATCAAAACACCAAGAACAACATTCACAATTCAATTTCTCTTTTGTAAGTGAGGGTTAGCCCTGAAAAGGGCTGTTGGGTTGAAGTTAGATGGCAGTTTACATGTAGAGCTCACGTAACAGATCAAGATGTTGTTTGGAGACATAGACCATCATCTTGGCATACTTCAGGTACATATCTCTGGTCTCCTCCAAGCAAGACACACGCACTTGAAGACTGTAGGCAAACTCCAACTTTCCATCTCTCACAGCTCTAACTTGACGGGCTTCTAGCTGGTTGATCTCATCATTGAGACATATAATCTGTGAGCTTGTCTTCCCGTAGCGAGCCTTGATGTCCAAGAGGGCTGCCTTGATGGTGTCTGCTGATGGATAGAGCTGAGAGTAGATGCTGTTGCTGGCTAGTGTTGTCATGTTGAGCTGTGTCGTCATGTTAAGCTGTGTTGGTAATATGAGCAACTCTTGATATGATGGGGTATTTATAGTGAGTTATGGTTGAGGATTTAGAACTGCTCAAATGTCAGATTATATCTACATGCAGATCCAGGGTCCTACTCACTTGTCATATTGTGTATTGTTTTATAATATAATCTTGCTCAAACATTTAGCCAATCAGGCGGCTCTAATCTGTATGTTTAACACCTGATTGTGATGAGCTCATTAGTTATTGTTTTAAAAGTTAATCTTTCAATTTTAAGCTTTGGTTTACACAAACATATTAATTAGCTTATGAACAAAAGTAATGGATGTTTTAAAAAGTTGGGATCAATATGTTTTCTAATAAGATCTGTATGTTTAACACCTGAAACAAACTTTTGTTTTAAACTATGGACAGAATTTAATGGTTGTGTATTAAAAAAAGAGACATCAACATGTAAAAGTAAAAGAAACATCTTCAACATTTTACTTGCTCAAATGTCATTTTATATCTACATGCATACTCAGGGTCCTTCTCACACATGATTATCATGTATTTTTTTTCTAATGCTGATCCTTCTCAAATGTCACTTAGAGAGATTATTATTGATTTGTCTAACACCCTTTTCGCAATTAAGTCTAACACATAATCTAACCTATTTGTTATTGCAGGTGAATTATTATTTATTTGTTTTTTTTTAATTTTAAAATTGTAAATAAAGACAAGTTGTAGTGAATGATCAATTAAGTCATTCCTAAGGGAAAAAATCTTGAGGTAGTTGTTATGGCATTTTTTGGGAATACAGTGTCGAGATTTTGGCAGTTTGAGCGAAAAAATCTCTCAAAATCATGCAGTTTTTCACCATTCTGAGCACTTTTTAAGTGATTTTGGCCATTTTTGGACCAAAATTAACACAAGTGAACCCCCCTGGAATTTTTCAAGAAGTGAACCCCCCTTAGCAAATCCTGGCACCAGGCCTGATATTCCTGTGTGTTAACCACTCAGTATTCTTTAAATATAGATGTTGGTCAAAGAATTTATCAAAATGAAATACTCATCAAAAACATAAAGCACCCTGCAAATACAGTGAAACACCCAGCAAAAACAATAAAACATCAATTGTTTTACCAATCACACTCGAATTAAAAAAATCAAAACAAAGAAACACTGGTATATGAACAATGAAGCACCTGGAATTTGCACTATATTTGAAAATTCATAATTCATTTCTCTTTTGGAAGTAATAGTGGCCCTGAAAAGGGCCGTTTTGGTGTGGCTGAGATTCATGGATCTATAGTATAGCTTGTAGGCGATGGTTCTCCAAATGAGCACACATCTCTGTGTATCTGTCCATGCTACTGGCAGTGTACAGGTAGAACATGTTCAGTGTCTCCTGTAGGCAGCTGATTTGCAAGTAGAGGCTGTAGCCTGTGTGGTAGAGCTGCTTCTCCCTGGCCCTCTTGTACCTCTCCTCTAGAGCCTCTAGCTTCTCTGTCAGCAGGACTATCTGAGTACGACTCATCTCACAAACACGTCGTAACTTCAGCATGTCTTTAGCAGTTGGCAATTCTGGTTCCATACTGTGTGGATCTACGTTCATGGTTCAGTGTTTGATTGTTTGCAGTTGTGACAACTATTGTGCAATGCAAGAAGATGCAGGTATATATACTAGCATGTCTGGCAGCTTGAGCAGGCTGGTAATGGGATCACTGAGTCTTTTAACTGGCACATTGAGCTGTTGGATTGAATGATAACTGACAATCTGATTGGCTGGCTAATTACATGACATTGATCATGTGTTATAATCCAGAGTGGCATGTAATTTTTGATTATCTAAATATGTTTCTTAGTCCCAGAGTTTAATTGGCTTATTCACTTGCGCAAGATGTTTTTAAAAAATATTTTTTTAATTATTTATTCATGCAATTGTGCATTTATTCATTAATTTTATTTGTTTGTTAAATTTTATTTCAATGTTCTTTAATTATTTCTTTATTTGACAAATAAGTGATTAAAAACTAAAATATTATTTTAAAAGTGATGAAACTATATAATTTAAGAAAAAAAGGAGATTAATTCATTCTTATTATTGCAAGCCATGGCAAAAATGGTTCTCTGATAACTGCAAAATCAGCCTGGGTATGAACATGAGACTTGTAGAGAAACTTGACCATGACCAAACCAGTGTTTGTTATTATGTCACCACCAAAAATGGTGACATATTGTTAGTCTCCAACTTTTTGTGGATGGTGTTCAGGGTTCGGCATTCTGCATCTGTAACAAGTGGCAGGTGGTGACATTTAGCATGTTAATGCCTTGTTATAGTATTGCCATTGAATCATGTTTTCTCCCTGTGTTGTAGGTGCCATATCTATCAAGCAGTCCCCAGGCCATTACAAGATCAACTTAGATTACCATTACCCTCCCAGAGACTATGACCCATCAGTATTTGGAGGCCTCAAAATCTCAGTTGGTCAGTATTTAATGATTTCCTTTCTATGGAAAACAATCCAAGCCAAACATATTAGGGATACTTAATTCAAAGGGCCCAGGCAGTTTCTGCTTAATACGATCTGTATCGATACTGAATGAATATCCGTCATATCAGTTTTGATAATGATAAATAGTAAACAATGATAAAAATCAAATAAACACTATCAAACACATTGAAAATGTGTGCTATAACCAGTGAATATTTTTTTAAAATTGTATTTTGCTGTTATCTCATGCAGCCGTGCATACATGCATCTGTGCAGGTGGGTGCCATGATCCAGGAAATCGCTCATTTGTTAAACTTGAATTTTTCACAGATACAAGTGCAGAGTACACAGCAGTGCAAATATCTTGTTAGGTTTTTGGCATGCTGGGTAAATTATGTGGCAGCCATTTTGCTTTTCGACTCGAATATCCGCCACATTGTCTTGTTCTATTGAGTTCATTGTTGAAGTGCATGTGATTATAAATGTATCTATTGTTTGTGTTTTAGAGCTGAGTAAGGTTGCCAAAGAAGATCTGGAATATGAAAGACTACTTATCAAGATTCTCGCCACATATCAGTCAATTCTAAACCATAAACAACTAAACTTCATCAACGCACCAGGCCTGACAGTTTTCTACAAATATGATATTGTGCATCTTAGACAGCTGAGTCAAGGTACATTTAATATACATTGTATATGAATATAAGTCCATGATATTATATAGTCTTCAACTTTTTGTGGATGGTGTTCAGTGGTTGGTGGTTGGCATGTATTTACGAGTATGACAGGAAAATTTAATTTTCATAAAATAGATGGCAATGTTCAACTGTTCATTTATTATTCAATTACATTAATTATATCTCTTAAGAAAATTTCAAAATGTGATGGTGTGTGTTGGTGTTCGGCTGTCGGCATCTGTAATAAATGACATTCAATGGTCCGCTGTAACAAATGCTGGCAGGTGGTGACATTTTAAATGTTAATGCCTTGTTGCATCCTAATGTACATTAAATATGTTTATATTTTTGCAGCATTGAAGGCCCAGCTGACCCAGTTCTGTAAGGGTCCCAACAATATTCCACCAGTCACATACGTTCCAGTGAGAGGCTTTGAGAACCCAGACCATGTACTTTCTATTGTGCATTGAGCACCTAGCCAATGTGCTCATTATTGTGCATCGAAGATCTGAACCATGAGCTCTTTATTGTGCACTGTGCATTGAACTTCATTTCGGTACTCATTATTGTGGATCGCATATTCACCCCATGTGTTCACAAGTATGCATCGAACATGTGGACCATGTGCACTGTATGCACTGTAGATGTATCAATCAGAATTCCTCATGCATTGAACACCCATTGTGCTCTCAGTTGTGCATTGGAAGATCTGAACCATGAGCTCTCTATAGTGCATTAAACATTTGAACCATGAGCTCTTAATTGTGCAGTGTGGATTGAACATCATGAAAATATATTTATTCTTTTGCATTGAATATTTGCCCCATGTGCTCTCAGTTATGCATCAAGCATTTCGACCTTGTGCGTTGTATTGTGCAATTAACAATAATTAGACCATGTTTTCCTTGTTGTGCATTGAACACCAAAACAATGTGCTCTCTATTGTGCATTGAATATTCACCCAATGAGTAATCTATTGTGCATTGAACAGTCAGACCATGTATTATGCATTAAGGATCTGAACCATGAGCTCGCACTTTATTGTGCATTGAACATCTGGGTCATTATTGTATGAACAATTAAGAAAAATGCCAGTATAATGCTTATTAGAGACACTTAGTCTAACATGTACATTTCCAGTATTTTATTACATTGAGAATACCCATTGTATTGTGTTTGAAAGTTGTTATGCTCTGCCATTAATGATCTCAGCATGACTGTGCCGAGTTCTGAAAAGGGCTGATTGTGATGTTGCTGATTGTGATTATGCTGATTATTATTATGCTGATTGCGATTATGCTGATTGTGATTATGCTGATTATGATTGCACTGATTGTGAAAGAACAATTATGCCTTTGCTAGAAATTTACACTTTGACATGATTAATAACTCTCCCACGTACGAAACATGTCATAATTCATTGGCTTTGTTATGTTTATATATTTACTGAAAGTTTCATGTAAAAATATCAATTATTGATAAAGTTAGAGCATATAGTGCATTACTTCTGGGACAACCCTCGTATAGTGAAACCCTGAACAGTAAAAATGTCTAATCGGAACACCACTGGGGGGATGACTGGGACCCAGCTAAAAGCATTCGGATTAAGAGGTGTTCACATTTCAAAGTTTTTGCATTCATGGGATACAGGAGGTTGAAAAAATATGAACACATTTCCTGTGAATATTTACAGTTCAATTGACTATGAAACTGTTGCACACCTATATTTTGAATCAAAGTGTTCAGATTAGGAAGTGTTCAGATTAGCCAGGTGTTCAAATATACAAGTTTCACTGCAGTTCTTTTATATACTGGTATATGTTATACAATGATATAGATTGAGATGTAAATATTCTCTCACTGATGCAATATTGTCAGTGCTGTGTATGTTAGCAATTTTTGATAGACACGAAATATTATATGCTTTAATTAGTGCCAAGTTACATGATAATGTAGGCTATATTTTATATAATAGCATGCATGATAGTGCAATTTATTACTTTAGGAATACAGTGCAGTACCGGGAGAAATTCTGGTGGTTCCAATGTTTTTACATGAAGTACAGGTTAGGGGGATGGTGTCAGGTTGAGAGTAAAATTAAATTGATATTGTTACAATAAAGTAGGTTAAAGGCCCCATGCAAAGTTAATGATGATTTCATTCATGAAGAATGTTGATTTTTTGACGAATTGGGTGGAATCATCATTTTCAACTTTCATTAAATTGGGGGAGAAGTGCAGTGGTCTGCCATATAGAATATTAATTTATTATGATATTACAAAGTACATGTACCATCTTACAATGTTTTCCTGTTATGCCTTTGGTCCTACGTGTCCAGGATAAAGGAAATGACAGGCCTTCTAGACTTCCACAAATGCGACCATCAGTTCTGACCTCGTGAACCACAGTTCTCACAATGGGAATATCGATTCTTAAGTCGCGAATCACAAGTTCCTCTCTCCCGAACATAATTCTCCATTCACTAACGGAGTCCCCAGGCCACATTCGCTAACGTAGTTTCCACAAAGCGAACCAGCTGTGTGGTTCTAGATGTGGGAATTTTGTCCGCGAGTAGAACAATATGGTGGTTCGCAACTAAAGAATCAATGTTTCTGTTGTGAGAATCGTTGTTCGGGGTGGAAAGAACATAGTTGGTGAGGTCGGAACTTATGATCACATTTGTGGAAGTCTAGGCCTGTATGATGCATTTATATATTTTGCCTTTTAAGGTAATTATGAAAATTTAGGATTTTCACTTTTTTTATACTGCTTTATAATGCTATATGGAATGTCTATGTATTAAAATAATTGTAAGCCATCTTTCACATTTCAATATTGAAATAAAATTCAATAAAATATATTTAAGTATGTTATGTCAGTTGTTCAGTACTCTGTTGGTTTCAGCTGTACTATGTTGGTATTTTGGTATTGTAAAGGTATTTTTGTGAAATGGACATACAGTAAAACCTGTCTAAGTAGAACACCTTTGGTACCTCTAAAGTGTTCCACTTGGCAGGTGTTCCACTTATAGATGTTCATTTAACATTAGGTCAGTTGGTCTTGTGACTTTGAAGTGTTCCACTAACAGAGGTCTTCTATTTCTAGGTGTTCCACTTTAAAGGTTTCACTGTATTTGAGAGGTTCAGCTACACATTATAAAGACAGCTTGTATATAAACATGTATTATGACCCCCAGGGATTACTGTACCCCATATCTCAATTGTTTTTTCCAGGGACCTAATTATAACAATTTCTCTCATACCTTCATCCTCAAGCAAGTAAACATGCCACAAGGAAAAACTAATGCCAAGAGGACCATTATTCTACACATTCATATACAAGATATCTTTAAAAAGTGTAGCTTACCTTGCTATTATTGTGAAGACCAAGTGTTTCATTTCATATTTCTTTTAACATTCAACAGAAAACTTTTATTCTATTAAATTCATCCCTTTATTTCCATCTTCACAAAATCAAACAAAAGTAGTTTACATAACAGTCCGATGTAGTTGAGATTGAGTGTGATCTTTTTACAGTCATATGTGATGACGCAGTGACAGAATACTCCAACTAGGCTCAATGTCATGATAATAAGATGAAGACTAACTTCGCTGAATCTGTGAATAGACTTCATTTTCCAATAAATCCCACCACTTTTTGGTACACCTATGAAGCTTTCGTGTTTTGGGTAGATTGATGATGTCATTGGTTGTACTTTTCCAAAATGAGCAACAGCCCTAGGATTATCTGATTTTGCTTGGGCTGATTGCTACCCGATATTGCTTAGCTCCTTCGATGTACCAATAGGTGGCAGGGTTTATTGGAAAGGTCTATTAAATGAGACACTTAATTAACCCGAGTTTTGTTCCATTGCTACAAAGTTTCCTTTGCTGTCATTTGTCAAGGTGAATCGTCCATACTAAGATGTAGCTATAATGGGCAAACTCATTTTTGAGTCCAGTTGGAGATATTCCGTCACTTTAAAATGGAGTCTCTTCTGAACCAAGGCATCAAGAACACATAGTTTATATATATATATGTTTATGGCTTAAATCATTAACATGAAATACATGGAGTCTTGATATAATTTTAAAACTTTTAAATAGAAATGCTCATATATAATACAAATTTAAATACAGTATGTACATAATTTCATTTTATCTTTGCATCACAAGACTTTATACATTTCAGGGCTTTCAAACATTAAATAGTGGTCTCCTAGCAACATTGCTATGGCAACCATAAATAAATATAATGTTGTCATGGTAACCATATAATACATACACATCCTAAAAGTAACCTAATTTAACAATTCTATTAAATTAAAAATAAGTTAAAAACTTAACAATGGCAATACGCAGTAATAGATATTGGAGAAAAGCAGTTTGAAGCAATGTCATACTCATTGAACATGACGAATACATGAATATGCGTAAACAGTACTACATTGTATATCTATTAGTTAAATCATCAATAAATCGTGGAAATCATGAATAAGTGAAGCAGTCTATGGCAATAAGTCAAATACAGCTTACTTAAGTGAAACAAATGTCAGCAACTCATTTAATGTAGCTCAGACTGAATATATCTAAATATGAAGATGAACGTGAAGTTTTAGTTTCTCACGAAGGCCTACTGGATGTGCACACTCAAACAAGAACACAGAATACACAGCAACTTGTGTGATTGTCAATGAAGAGTATCTACACACCTATCTATATGTTACAAAATACTAACCATCTCGAATGAATTGCAACAAAATAAAGCACATACTGATATACAGTATGGAGCTAAATTGATACTATTATACTAATGGCATACATTCTTTCTAAATATCTGAGACAATCACATACATGTATTTGCCACAATTCAGAAGAGCGATGATTGAATGAATGAAAAGATGGATGACGATCACTGACCACCTACAGCTCCATGGTAACAGTTTGAGTCCATGGCAACACAACATCAGTCCAAAAGTTCCTTGGTAACAGTGTTTGAGTCTATGACAACACAACCAGTCCACTACACAACTTAACAATGCCAATTCTTCAGAGTAAGTTTGGAATAAACTAATCCTTAGACCCATGTTTTTTGCATACAGCATAACCTGCCATTGTGAACAAATTCATATTAATACAATGGGGTTCTTTCAATATGTCAGAGTTATACTATACACAAAATTGATGACTTTATTTGAGTTTATAGAAACTGCAAGACTTACATGTTAGACAGTGTTGTTGATAACAGTAGCAGAGAAAGAGGGGGGAATATCCCAGAATCCCTAAATGAACCAATCTCCATATAAAGATGAACATCATGGAGAAAGGTCCACATATGGATTCTGGGGCTATCCTCCTTTTAGTTATAGAATTGTCCCATGAAGTGAAGACAGTCAGTGATGGAGTAAATTATATTCTAATGTATTAACATTATATTATTTTTTATTTGTACACACATTAGTAACCCATTTAATTAGTGGGACTCATGATCTCATCCAGAATGAAGAGCCAACTAATCATTGTGATATTGTAGTATCTTAGAATCAAGATGGCCGCCTTGGACTAGAGAGCTCTTCACACTGGAGGAGCAAATGTTATATTGGAATGAAGAATTGAGAAATCCCTTAAAAGTGGCTGCTATTCATGTACATCTTTAGTCAATTGAGAAGAAGAACTACAATACTGTATAGTTCAATCCATTTAAGATTTCGAAAATTTCAGATTTATGGCAAATTAGATGCTGACTCATTGAATTGCGGCTCACTTCTGGAGATTCATTACAAAAATATGCCAAAGTTTACACGTTGAGCTTTAAGGAGAAATTATGAAATAAATTCAATGTACTCAACAGCAAATCATAGCATATTTCTACATTCTGCACAGCAAACAGCATTTAAACACCAGTATTCCTTATCTAGTATTAAATGGTTTCAAACTTGAGAAAACTACACGCATCTTAACCATGGGAGATTATACTCTTATTTCACAATAGGGTTCATACAATGTATTTGAAAGAAAACAAACTGAAACACAACAGATATTTACAGACTTGCATAAGTTGATGAATGCCCTGTGAGTTTACATTTTGTACAATTGGCATGTACAGTTGGGTGCAATGACAAATTGACATGAAGTATGTAGTGTGCATTGACACATTGACATAAAGTATGTAGTGTGCATTGACACATTGACATAAAGTATGTAGTGCACATTGACATAATGTATGTAGTGTGCAGTGACACAATGACATAATGTATGTAGTGTGCAATAACACATTGACATGAAGTATGAAATGTGCAATCACACATTAACATGAACATTGACATAATGTATGTAGTGTGCAATAACACATTGACATGAAGTATGAAATGTGCAATCACACATTAACATGAACATTGACATAATGTATGTAGTGCAACGACACATTGACATAATGTATGTAGCTTACAGTGACACAATGTATGCTGTGTGCAATGACACAATGTATGCCATGTGCAATGACACACTGACATAATGTATGTAGTGCACAATGACACACTGACATTATGTTTCTTGTGCTCAATGACACATTGTGGTGAACATTGACATAATGTATGTAGTGCGCAATGACACATTGACACAATAACACTCTGACATAATGTATGTAGTGCGCAATGACATTTAACACTGAGATTTAAGCAATAAACTGCCCATCCAGAGATTCTAGAAAATAACATTTACTTATCAGCTACAAATAATGTCAGTTGTGTCATCTTACGCTGAGAACGATAAACTACATGTTTGATTTTGCTCGGAAGATAGCCATGTCTTTGTATTGCTATGTTATGAACGTAACTTTGATTGCGATCATCAATGGCTAAAAATAAAAATATAACATCATCAAAGTGTCATCCCTTGACAAAAGACAAGGTCATGGTCACTAGATAATGAAATATTTTCGTTTAAACCAATCTCAAGTAGACTTTTATATACTTTTCAAAGCATATTGCACCGCTGGTGTTTAAATAGTTATGAATTATAAGAATAGTATTTACAATCAAATACATCCTCTCCTTCAGGGAAATATCATTTCAACTTGTGTACACTATTTGTAAAATGTTCATGCCTGTTGAAGTTCATTCTTTTTATGTTCATAAGTTGTAAGACGTGAAAGTTGAAATAATATTTTCCTAGAGAGAGTAGAATGCCATATCACATGGGAAAAACTTGTTCCTATACGGGTATATGTATAGTATATGATCGATAACAACTTGAATATTTTCAATAACAACTGTACAAAGTACTAACAGAACAGTTAATAATAAATGGTATACCAGAACACCAAAATCGTCTCAATATACAATTTATAAATTCAAATATAACAAGCATTAAAAATATGTCGCTTTACATGTGGGCAGAAATTCATCAATGGATATCATCCTCGGGAAGATTCACATACGTCTTAAGATTTTTAACTCATTTTGTGATTGTAGAAAATGAGTAAAATATTGAGTGTATTCACATGTTACATTGACTCCCGGAGGAGAAGCTTCCTGAAGGAGACTTGTAATATCTTGAAGGACAAACCTGAATCTTCACAAGGAGATATCCAATTCAAACATTCCAGTACAATCAGGACTAGTGTAAGCTGGGACTAATAATATGGGACTATGCATAATGGGAATACGCATTATGGGACTATATATGGGATATCTATACAACCCTCTATCAGAAATGTCCATCTCTGAAGCAACTTTGGTATCTAATTGTGACATAATACAGTGACATAATACGGTGCCATAAAGCCACCGTGGCCAGTTATAATATATTCTTAATTATTATACATTGACTAGAGGTGACTAGCAATTGTCCATTTATTTTTCATCAATCAACTAACAATATACAGAACCAAGAATAACTAGCATTTCCACGAAGGTAAATATATATATAGGTCTGGAAATTTGCTACAAGAATTGAAAATGAATACTGTGGTACTGTTTGAAATTAATAGCTTCAAAATATAAGCATATATAAAATGTTTCATAATGAGGTACTTGAATTCGTCCATCTTTCTAAGGATTCTTTAGTACACCGATCTCGATTAGCTTGATTTCTTCGAACAATATGTACACATCATTGTCAACTCATCGTTTGCTTCTTTCCTGAATCAATCACAGTGAATCATACAATTCTACGTCATCCTCACTTCCCGAGGGAGTTTACAATTAGAGATCCTCTTTCTTGTCATGGCTCTTTCAACCAATCAGAATTAAGTATTATGCATACTCATTCCCTGAACGTCTCAGATGTCCCGTGCCATGACCCCTGTTGTCACTAACTTGGGACGCTGCATACTGGGGCTTTTACGCCGCCAAAATAGGATGGAGGGGTGCAAAGTTAGAATCCTGGGATATAGCAGTAACTCTCTAGGGAAGAAAGGATGATGTAAAATACCCAAAGTCCTGATAATAAAATAGTAGTGACAATTTTACAGCCACGAGGGCCCCCTAATTCTCCACCAATAGACTTTTTTCGCCTAAACATTATGGTTGCTATAGCTATACAGGCAAAAATACAGAAAACTGTAACAGAAAATCCTAAAGAGCCAGGTTTCACAATGAACTTGGTTCCCTTGGCAGCGTGAACAATGGCTGCCATTCCCCACGCAAGTCCAATACCAAGGAACACATTTACAGCATTACTTCCTGTTACGTTTCCCACTGAGGAATCTGCATACTTGTCTCCTATGGCGGCAACTTTGCTAGCAAATGTATCTGAAACAACCACACCAGTGTTAGCCACATTACAAAGAAATTAGTCTACAAGGAGGTTTCTCTATATAGTATTCTGGTTAATTTATGGCCTAGTCACATAGCCCGGCCGATGTCCGGCATCGGTAGAGCTCGGTGGATTTTTTTGGTGCCACCGAGCTCTCCTCATCGGAAGCAGAGCTCGGTGACGTGAACGGACTCCGTCCGGACATCTTCAGGTACTATATTTTCCAAGGCTCTGTCCCACATCGGCCGGAGCTCGGTCGGAGCTCGGCCGGTGTCCGTTAAAAAAACCTCGTCCTCTGGTTGTCTCAGACGTGTGTTCTGATGTGGTTACGATGGGGCTGCGATGAGGGAGCTCGGTGAGAGCCCGGTGAAATTTAACTCCGAAGTTAAAATTTCACCGAGCTGCCACCGATGCGGTTTTAAGCAACAAACACCACAGATGTCCGGCCGGTGTCCGGCCGGTGTTCGGCCGAGTTCGGTGAAAATTGCATCGCTGGCTCATCGGAACCTCATCAGCCGGGCTATGTGACTAGGCCATTATTCACATAAGAGAGATTGCGCACAACATTTTAGCTTAACATGTCTAAAATCCATAACATATTCACAAGATTTATGCGTACAGTTTAATTAAAAAAAAGATGTGGTTGGTGATACGTTTTAGCTATAACCTGTTTTGCGAACCTCTCTATTATGGTGAAAAGAAACTCTAAAGTACAGCATCTTTTTAAAGTGAACATTGTATGAGAAAACAGTTACTTATCAAGGCATTTACAGACTGCTGGAAAGTTGTATTGAATAAATTCTGTTCATATTTCATTTGTTCACTTTTAATAGAAAGAGGTTTTATACCATATCTAATTTGAAAATTATTAAATAAAAAGTGAAAAAATGAGATGTTTCTCAAGAAAGTTACGTTTAGACAAATGTGGATATACCCAGTTTTACCATTATATGTTATGTGTGCTGTCAGTAGCATTGGGAACACCTCAATAATCATATAACCAATGCTCCCATACATGTATATATATTCCCATTCAGAACACGGAGCACTGTTATTGGTACATACATATTGCATGAGACTTATAGTTAACTGTTCTAAAAATGAGACTGAAATTGAAAAAAGACTTTTGGCTAGTTTTCTTTCATCTCTTCAAGATTTTTTAATGGGACTACCTTATAAGTAAAATAGGTGCTCATTTTTTGATAAATATGGGAGATAAAATTTGATAATTCTCATCGACAATATGTATAAAGTGTATATCAGTTACCAAGTGAAATGCTACTGACTGCAAAATGTTAAGATTTGGTAGCCTTGCTTCAAGACTTTGGACATTGCTCCCTATCTACAATACAGTTGTTAGAGTAGATAGTCCAGGGTCTTGAAACAAGACTACGATTGCAGAAACTAATTAATCACTATTTCAGATAGTCTAGTAATAGACTCGTAAAATGAAATAACAGATGTTGATGTTATGTTGGCTATCTAAGATTGCATCCACCTAAAAAGTTAAATGACATAAGTTAAAAGAATGTTAAATCACAGGTTTTCTCTAACTAAATTGAGACATGGTTAAATATGGCCTGGGTCCCGTTCCCATTATTGTTATCAGGGACCTGGTTAAGAAAGGAATCAAGACATGAAATAAGAAGCTGAAGGCATAACCATAAACCATAAGTCATTCATCATAAGACGAGGTTAAACCAAAATTGTTGAATCAATCTAGAAATCTCTCTCAAGCAGAACAATCTAGAAACCATTGAATATACAGTCACTCTCCAAAGGTAGAACAATCTAGAAACCAATGAATATAGTCACTCTCCATGGCAGAACAATCTAGAAACCATTGAATATACAGTCATTCTCCAAGGCAGAACAATCTAGAAACCTTTGAATATAAAGTCATTCTCCAAGTCAGAACCATCTAGAAACCATTGAACATACAGCCACTCTCCAAGGCAGAACAATCTAGAAACCATTGAATATACAGTAACTCTCCAAGGCAGTACAATCTAGAAACCATTGAACATACAGCCACTCTCCAAGTCAGAACAATCTAGAAACCATTGAATATACAGTAACTCTCCAAGGCAGTACAATCTAGAAACCATTGAACATACAGCCACTCTCCAAGTCAGAACAATCTAGAAACCATTGAACATACAGCCACTCTCCAAGGCAGAACAATCTAGAAACCATTGAATGTACAGTTACTCTCCAAGGCAGAACAATCTAGAAACCTTTGATGATACAGTAACTCTCCAAGGCAGAACAATCTAGAAACCATTGAATATACAGTTACTCTCCAAGGCAGAACAATCTAGAAACCTTTGATGATACAGTAACTCTCCAGAGCAGAAAGAAGCAAATAAAGAACCCACACACTGACAAAAAATATGGCAGTGATAGCTTTTATGGGATTCTTTCCCCCAAATTCTCCCCCGATGAATGGACGCCTCCTAATGAGTAAAGCCACAAAACAGAAAAGGGCCAGTATGATGTATAATGTGACAGAGAACCCCAATGACCCTGTTTGTACAATGAACCTAGTCCCATATATAGCATGTTTAACAGCAGCCATAGACCAGGCTATGCCTATTCCGAGAAAAACATTCACTGCATTGCTTCCCGTCACATTGCCTACTGAAGCATCTGCAGTTTTATCATTAACAGCAGCCACCTTGCTGGCAAATGTGTCTGCAAATGAAAGGAAAAATAATGTTATTAAAATCTTATGGCTATGGAAGACATACTGTATAAGCGGTATTTAATCCAAGTGGTTAATTTTCCGAATGGTCAAATTTCATCATTTTCCTAATTTTAATTTTCCTAATGACAAGAAACCTCCCATTGGATAACATTATAAAGACAATATTTCCGACATTTAATTTTCCGAACCTGTCAAAAATTAGGAAATAAGCAAATTAAATGATTAGGCAAAATTACCACTTATACAGTATACAGCAAAATCTGTCTAATCTGAATGCCACTGGGACTGGCCAAATGTGTTCATATTAACAGGTGTTTACATTTTAAGGTATTCTAAATATGTGAGTAAATGGGAGATAAAAAATTTGGGACTGAGAAAAAGTGTTCGCATTGAGATGTGTTTGGATTAGCGAGGTTTTTGTACATAGAGGGACTGTCTTACCTGGCACACTAGTTCCCAAGGCAACGAATGAGATGGCTGTCACTGAATCCTTGAGACCTATAGTACAACCAAATGATGATGCAAGATCACCAATAATTGTTGTTAGAATTCCGATCCAGATTATGGACACAATAAAGCAGGCCCAACCTCCCCAATAATCTGAAACATAGCATTCAATTATTCTACTGTTCAGAAAATAAAACACAAATTAAACAAGGCATTGACATGCAAAATGTTACCACCAAATGCCAACCACCAACTGGTGAATGCTAAACACCAACCACTGAACACTGTTCACAAAAAAGTTGGAGATTATAAAAATACATCAGCTCTTTTGGTGGTGACATAATTACTCTGAAACTTTTTAATCAAAATCCGTAAATATGTGAAAGCATTTACAGCAAGGAAAGTTGGACTCAAAACTTGAGTTAAATATACATATAATGGCGACAGACAAACTTGGTACAATTGGAAAGCTAATACATTCATATAATGCTTATAATAGTTCATATAATGCTTATAATAGCTTACCTGTGGGGGGCACAATTGCAAAAAGAACCTTCCAGAAGATGGTCAGGAAATGCATAACGTAATCCATGCAAGATGGAAGTTTTTCTTCTCCCTCCTCACCGTCATCATCTTCATCACCTAGGTAACCAAACACATTACTATGTTAACACTCATTACTAGGGCACCTCTGTTGGTAACTATGGCGACTATGATTGATGCTGAAGCAAAAACTATGAGATGATTGGTGAAATGAGCACAATGTATTTATACAACAAAGATGAATTCTTTCAATTGTTTACTAATCACTGTTTATAGATGTGATTATCAAGACGTCATGGTAACCATGGTAACTATTTCACCAAATCTCAAAAATCAAAATCTCAGTCTCTACTTCATAGATGCAGATCATATTTATGCATGTTGGCACAATTTACATTTACTTTCGGCACTATTTTCCAAATGCACTATATCTTTACGCTGACAATGTTTACTACAGTTACATATGCACTGAGCCATGACTAAGACCAAAAATGTATACTTATCTCTTCTGAAATCTTCAAATTCATTCAGTCGTATTATTTTATACTTATTGATTTTATATAATATTATGAGAAATTATACAAAGCCAACCAAATTTCATATATAGAAACTAATATTTAAAGAAATAAAACATTTTCTGATAGATATTGGCAAATTGTTGGCTTTATATAGTCGCACATACAATTATAACCTGGAAGAACATATAAATTATAAATTATATTCCTCATATTTATATTAAGTCTTATACTATTAATTTTAAGCATTTCTTACATTCAAAAACTAAGCTGTGTAAAAGATGTGATATTATAAAATTGCGAAATGCGTTAAAAAGCTGTGTCTAAGAAACACATGCAGTACGTTACCATAGATACCCTATCACTACGTCTCCAATATGTGGAGTTCCCAATCCAAGGTAAAGGGAATAGAACTATAGGCTATTTCTAAAAGATAAAGGTTCTAAAAGGCAAACCAAATGTTAGATATTACAAAATAAACAACCAAGATCACACGCATACTGGTAGAAGGAGACAAATCAAAATGTTATGAAAATGTATTTTATATGTTATATAATATAATGGAAAGAGCGAAATATATTGTAGGTCTCATAGAAATTGGTATCACAATATGGCATGACAAAAAAATAAAACACAAATGTTTTGAACAAGGATTTACCTAAGAGTGGGTGAAATTCACTAATCAGACCACCATCTTGCAAGGGGATTTCATTAAAACAAATCACAGATAACAAAATACATCATTTCTGTGGTTAAATTGATCAAAATCATTTTAAGATATACAGTGCAGTACAGTACGGTATAGTACAGTACACTACAGTACAGTACATTTCAATATGGTACAGTACATAGCTTATATGATCTAAATAAGTCAGTAGTGTTGTACATGTACTAATACATATTTAAAAGGATTATCAAAATAACCACAATAAATGACTTAGTGTTGTACATGTACTAATAAGTATTTAAATGGATTATCAAAATAACCACAATAAATGACTTAGTGTTGTAAATGTACTAATAAGTATTTAAATGGATTATCAAAATAGCCACAATAAATGACTTAGTGTTGTAAATGTACTAATAAGTATTTAAATGGATTATCAAAATAACCACAATAAATGACTTAGTGTTGTACATGTACTAATAAGTATTTAAATGGATTATCAAAATAACCACAATAAATGACTTAGTGTTGTAAATGTACTAATAAGTATTTCAATGGATTATCAAAATAACCACAATAAATGACTTAGTGTTGTACATGTACTAATAAGTATTTAAATGGATTATCAAAATAACCACAATGAATGACTTAGTGTTGTTCATGTACTAATAAGTTTTTAAAAGGATTATCAAAATAACCACAATAAATGACATGCTATTCTTTAACACACCGACAAACTAACTGATAACAATTTACACAAACATTTTTTAAATTATGAAAAACATTAACAGGTTTATTTTCTAGATAATGATTTTATATCTAAATGAGATAATCCATGCTACTACATGTACTATAGTACCAGAAACCAGAGACTCAAATAAGTTAGCATTGAGTATATGGACTAGATTAATCCATAAGGTTAAACAATAAGAATATCATTTCACAATTTAATGATTTATAAAATTGCTGAGTATAATTTCATTGAATGGAATATATAAGAACCTGATAGATAAAAAGTTAAATGAACTCTTAGAACTAAAATGCTGAAGACACTTATTTACAGTAAACAGACAGAACGGTACAGAACAGAACAGTACAGTACAGTACAGTACAGCACAGTACAGCACAGTACAGCACAGTACAGTATAGTATAGCATAGTACAGTACACTATGGTACACATTTTTACAGAACAGTACAGTTAATTATGGTACAGTACACAGCTGATATTACAATATCAAAACTATTTTGTAGATTTCAAAATCCAAATAACTACCCATTATATAGGAGCAGAATAATAAAATATAAGATAAAGGGCAATTAAATAACACAGATAACTCATACTAACGAAATAAAAAATAGAATAATTTTAACAGAACGTATACTAAACAGTACAGTATGTAAAGCAATACCAATTTCTATGAAAGGGTTATGATAACATCTAGTCTAGCTAATAACAAGTTAGCTACAGTAAAACTGCAGAGATCATGAAACATTCGAGGAGAAAGTTTAAAAACAACTAAATATTAATTCAGGTGTTAAACAAGGTACAGTAATAGACCTGCTCTTATGGCTGCTGCACCGTAACATTCTACATACTATCAGAAACATTACAACTCATCTTGGAAAAGCTGACCGCAGTTGGCTGTCGGGGCAAATATTTCCTATTCATAACTATCAAATTGAGTTCAGTCCCTTATACACAGTATACATGTAAATGATGACATCACATGACATTGAGGACATTGAGTACATATATGGTCAATAAGCATCTACAGTACTGCCATCTATCTACTGTACTTGGCACCACTGTTTTTTCGCTACCTATTATTTAAGCAGGGGAGAAGCGTGAACCACCACAAAGGTGACATGAACCACCACATGGTTAATATGGCAGAGACACAGGAGATTGGATACAAGGCTGATAATCCCAAGTTCTTATTATCTGATCACTATACTCGTATTGTGATTACTTTGAAGGCAAGTGAATTGAAAGTCGTATAAAGTCCTATAAATGGGTGTGTCTGCCATTAAGGGAGGGATTTACATATGTCACATAATTTCTAATTGGTTTATACAAAATGTGGGTGTTGCTTATCTAAATGACAGACATGATGATTGACAAACAATGACATATACTCAAATGTTGTAGTATCAAGGGGACATTCAAATATTTGACTGATATTTGCACTTTGCAATGAGCTGTAGGGTTGTCATCAATCCATTCATGATGCTAAGATTGTTATATCGAATGCAAGTTATTGACTAAAGTCATCATAATCCAGGGTTGTTATAATCTAATAAGAATATTCTATGCATGAATGATTCAATGGAAGATGCAAAGAAAATTATACGATAGGCAATGAACCATATAACTGAGAAGATAGAACTGGGTTTGATTTTAAGACATAAAGTTGAAGAGATTTTAATAATTTGGTAGACTGAATGAGAGGTTAAATATGAGGAGATGGATGCAAATGGATGAACGTATTTTGTTGAATTTTTTGTATTTTATTGGTGTTGCATTTTTATAATATTATGAATACATTACATGGTACTATTCATTTACTCAATATAGCTAGTACTACTACTGGGTAGACATTTAAACAAGCTCAAATAGATAATAAAAAGAAAAAGCTTCCTATATCATGCAACTAGTCAGTAGTTAGTAATTGAACTCAGCAACTTCAAAAATGAAAATATGATGTATATATTAGGAACTACTAGCACCCAGTAAGCTGGGATTTGATGGCACTAACTTCATTGATTGATGCAAATATCAGTATAAACTAAAAAGTGCAAATCGCTCTACTCACGAAATGACAAAATTGTGAAGACTACAACCTTCTAAGGGGCACACTACAAAGTATGTCTGCTAAACTAATGTTACTATACATGATGGTTCGGTTGTTCAAACGTACTATTCAGTTGACAATAGTGTTTTTGAACAACTACACCTGACTATATTTGCCACTTTAGAGCACTTACATTTACTTGAATGCACTAAGAGATGCAGAGTGTATGATTATATAAATGTTCAGAAATTTGTGCTACTTTGTGTACATTTGGTAGAAATATGATTATGATTACCATAAATTTATTTTGTCTCACGACAGCAGGAACAGAATTCTTTTTCACCATCAATATTTGTGAGATAATTATGTATCAATTTATACTAGCAACTAAAACTGCAACTTAATAATTCTAAGTTTCTAAATCTATATCTTTACGTGTGGAATCTAGCTTCCATCTACCCTTGTGTGAGTTCTGACTTTGACAAGGACATGGACAAGGATATTCTAAGCGCTAACATTGAAAAGCATATTAACCATTGAAAGCTTACAGAGACTGATATATGTACATACACTGTACATGGACTAGACAGCAACAACAATGACCAATAGTACCATAAATTCCACAGTATAACTTATGTACAAGATTTACCAAAATTGACACTGATACAAAAACCATCACATAGAAATCCAAGAGAAATATACACACAAGAAAGACACAGAAGTACACAAGACAATCAACTCCCAAGCTAGACATAAACATAAGTGTAAACATGAGCAACATGACACACAGCTTGGAAAAGAAGCAACTGAAATCTGAATAACTCTTAACATTCAAATAAAATAGTATATGATCTTGGAAAAGTACAGGACTTTGGTTTGACCAATGATTTAAAGAAATATCTATGCGTTTCTTTGACAGACATTATTATTATCACTATATAAAGTATCTCAATGACATGAAGAAGATGACCACAGACCCATTTAGCATAACAAAGTTTAAAACTGAATTCAAAGTGAATTGTCTGAAACTACGCACATAGCTCAAATGTTTATTTACGAAGAAACAAACAAGTATTTCAACAGCAACATCATAAAACTTTTAAAATTAATTTGAAATCGAATCCTGCATCATCATAGAGGTTAAGACAATCAGAGGCACAATCACGTACAACCAGCAGGGGAATAAGCTGCACATTACATGATACAATCAGACCAAGGACTGGAGTATACATAAGCATTTAACACAGTTGACTAAACTTTAAGCTTTAATATTTTTTGAAACAAGTTTGGTCAAAATGTTCACTGTCATGATTTGTGGTGGTAACGCGAATGCTTGTTTTATGTAGTGCTCAAAGTGGCAAAATAGCATGATTGTGGGCAAGGGATTGAATATAATAGTCCTAATCAGATATAATATAGGGCAGTGGTCTGTCTATAGGTGGGCCAGGCCAGACGCAAGACAAAATATTCAGCAAATTTAGGGTAACAAACATTACACTGAGAAAGTGGAAAAAGTATGAGATGAATCAAAGGAATCATGAGAAATAAAAAAGGAGATAAAATTGTTATCAATACAAGAAATCTGGGTTGAGTTCATAAATTGGTGCCATTTTTGAGACACATATTTGTCACGTGAAATGATACCATTGGAAAGATGAATACATGTTAAATGGAATAATTCCAAAATGTTTAATGTAATGAAACAATACAATGACAGCCGTATAGTCCAAGAAATGGCTCAGACTTTGACCTTTAACAAGAAGATGGATGAGTTCAGGATTGAACAAGAAGGTATGAAAGAGACATGTAAAAAGCAGCTGAATATTTTGTCTATTATTGTCTGTATATGGCACATGGCCCCACTGCGGTGACTACTGTGACACACCAATGGTTGATAACTGTACACTTGCCTTCCTCTACGACGCTGAGAGCAGCTTTAAACTGTTCCCTCCAAGATGAGGTTCCTACCACCACTTGATTTTGGTACAAAAGCTGGTCTATTGTATGCTGAATATATAAATAGGGCAAAAAAATCAAGATGGACACACAGTTCTGGAGACCTGTCACGCCATGCAGCTGCAATGCTTCAGCCACCCACACTCACATGTCATACCATATATGGCAATACCCACATGTGATACTATATATGGCACATGTCCACATATCATACCATATTAGGCAACAACCATATATCATACTATGTAATAGCCTCATTCAATACAATTTGGCAACAGCCACACCAACGCAATGCCAGCCACATTAAGTGCATCAGAGAGCATGCAAGAAGAAAAATGAAAGAATGTAAATCATATGACAGAGATCGTTGGGGAGTTATTAACCAGTCACCTGCTTCCAAACTGATGGCTTCAATGAACTGTTCTCTCCACGATGCTGTCCCCACCACCATGGAAGTGTTGGTTTCCTTTAGCAGTTTGTCAACCGTGTTCTGTATACATATACACATACATTGAATACACATAATGTCAGTTGGTGGGACATTCAGTGACATGCAAACACGACATCAATATTATATTAGTAATCTTAGCTGCGATGTATGCTATGCCATTCTCTACACACTGTGTTAACATTTATCATAGATGGCGCTATAGCAAATCTCATGCGCTACAATCATGGCCAACACGCATTCAAGATGGCCGACCATTCACCTGCTTCCACGGTGATAGCCTCGACAAATTGTTCCCGCCATGATGATGTCCCTATGACAAGGGAGATGTTAGCTTTCCGTAGCAATTTGTCGACGGTGCTCTGTGGTAATAAGGCATAATTACAATGTTAAACTGTGCGATACTTGGAATGGGGGAGCAAAGACAACAACCATCGGAACACATGGCCATTACGCTAAATCAATATCATCTGGGGAAGCAAGGGGACTTGATATAACACAGTATAAAAAGATAGACAGTCATTTTGTTCCATCAATATTCAGGATATTGGTATACTTGTGAAATTTCTGGAAATTCACTAAAAGGGAACTGCTGAAGAGTGCAAGAAGATATTGTCATGAAACGGTGTGTGAATGTATGGGTTGGTGTAGGGTACAGAGCAAACAATAACAGATAGAGAGGAAAGAAGGTGTAAAGAACAAGTAGGGGGATTATTTAGAGAATGAAGTAGTTTGGTCATTTCCGGGACTGATTAGTGGCATAGCATAGAAATGGAGAGCCGAGCTTGAAAATATTGCAATGATCTGAGTAATAGCTTTGGTGTACAGGAAATAGGATATAGCAGACATAAGGAATGGTAGCATTAAGTGTACAATAGATAAGGAAACAGAATTTAGTGTACAATAGATAAGGTACAATAGATAAGGAAACAGCATTTGGTGTATTATAGATAAGGCTAGAGCATTTTGTGATGATAAGGTTACAGCATTTAGATAAGGTTACAGCATATGGTGTGGTACAACAGATAAGATTACAGCATTTGATACACAATAGATAAGGTTAGAGCATTTGGTATACAATAGATAAGGTAAGAGCATTTGGTATACAATAGATAAGGTTAGAGCATTTGGTATACAATAATTAAGGTTAGAGCATTTGGTAAACGATAGACAAAGTTAAAACATTTTGAGTACAATAACAAGGTTAGAGGACTTAGGACAAGTATATAAGATTAAAAATAGAAAAGAAATTACAAAAGGAAAGGATGTGTTGAATAACGTAGCTATACAATAGTGGGATGTGCAATAGATACAAATGGAAATGCAATACATATAGTGGCATTTGCAGTAGGTTAAGTAGAATATGATACATGAAATTGTGTATGATAGATCTGTAGCCAAATGCCATGATTCCCATTAGAGACTATCTAAGGTATATTAATAGGAGTAATATATGTTGAGATTTTGTGTGGTCAAAGGTGCATCTGGTTACCAATGTTTCATTATGGACTTGAGATTAATGTTTAAAACTTTTAAATACACTCAAGAATAAATAATTTTGAAATATTAGATATGCTAAAATTCATGGAATGTCTTGTAATCTTGTAAGCTAAGTAGAAATATATGTTTAGGTTAGGTGATGATTTGCAGATAAGATAAATATGATATTTGAGTTTGTGATCTGCAAGCAGGTACCAATTTAATATGGAAGTCTATCCAGAACAAAATAATTAAACTTGTAACTTAAAACATGCATCAACAAATGCTTTAAATTGTAGGAAATAGGGACGATTTTCTAGTAAAACTAAAGGAATTTCAACAAAACATTAATAAACATACTATTTAAAATATTTATAACAATATAAATAAATTACACATAATTTAAATGTGAACCTACAAATCCCTAGTAAAGAAAATAATGGGGCAGTTTTATCATAATAGTTTAAGAATTGTATTTTATAAATAGTAAAGGTAACATAGGGCAGCCTTGATTTGCACCTTCTCCTGTGAAGAAACATATTAGTAAGCAAGTTAATGTTCTGCAGCCATTTTCTATAACGCCTAGAATCACCTCATAGTAAACCAACCTGCAAAGCAGTTTCTGTCTACCTTCACACAACATTAGCGCTCCACCTGTATCAAATGCATTTTCAAAATCTATCAATGTTAAAGTAGTTACAATTCAGATCACCAAAAGCTTCAAGCTTTTTGATTAAGCTTATTTCATTAAAAGGATGAAAGCTTGCATGATGTGATTGCTCACTGATACTACATCCAACTATTATGCATTGAAAAGCATATTTTATAATAATATTGTCTTTAATTCTTTAAACAGTAAAGTGAAGAGTTGAATATTCAGATTAAATCAAATCATACAAATTCATCTGTCTTTCAAACGAATCATTTTAAGCAACCTTCTTTGAGTGCATTATACATACAAACGGTATGTTATATACAAACATGTACATGTAAATGAACATACAAAATAACAATTTACAGGATCGATAAATTTGATAATGATGTCTGACCTGTATACCTCCTACTCTGACCCCAAAGCATCAAGGTGGGCTAAATGGCTGATGCAAAAGAAACCAAGTTAGTTAGCTACAGCATTTTAACACTGAAAAATCAACTCAAACATGAAACTGCTTATTTATCTTTTAACTAGATTTATTTTGACTAGACACTACATGAGGTGTCATTGATTTTTCAGGGTTAGCATTTTAAAAGCTGCACCCATTTGCATGCAGTGATTTAAATCATATGGCTTTTCCACCAATCAAATCAGGTGTTAGATTCACCTCCTTCCACAGTAACTGCCTCCAAGAATTGTTCGCGCCAAGATTTTGTACCAACAAGCAATGATGTCGAGATCTTGGACTTTTTCATCAACTTGTCAACGGCATTCTAGAAGAAATCAAACATCTACAGATTTATGCTACGCTATCTATGGGGCAGGCAGAGAGACAGTTTACCACAGCTTTGGCCTTTGCATAACAAAATTGTCATTAGAAAAATTGAAAAATCTTAAAACCGAAGGATTGAGAAATCCATGATGTGGAGGATAAAGATTGTAACCAGTTTCAAATGTGTGTAGTAATATATGCAGGAACAGCCAAAGTGTGATAAATGAAATGATCTCTTCAGTTATGTATGTTTATCATGCATATAGACAGGTTATTTTACCATGGGGCACATAACAGTATCGTTCTAGCATGTATCAAATGGCATGAAAGAAGTTAATAAAACAATATTGGAAATTTAGGAATCTTCGCAAATATACCAAATGCAGATGATGATAATCAGAAAACTGTTAATTGCCTATGGTAAAATCATCATGATGCCAACATGAATAATGGTTTCAATTCAGTGTCTTGAAACCACTATCCATTCAAAATATCACATCACTTGTACATTTATTCATGAAACTATCTTCAAACAAACAATACCAGCAAAACATAACAATGAAACACATATATTTGGTCAGTAGATTCTTGAATTCATTTCTATTGCATGTTAATTGTGACACTGACTATTTGAAGGCATTTCAACAAAAATCTGTTTGAAAACTGCACAAATGCACATTGCACAAAATGACTGCAAAAATAAAATCCCAAAAAGAAATCAAAGTTGAATATAAATGGTACCTTTTGATATGGTCAGTTTTTGCAAACAGACATTTTACAAATTAATTAAACAAACTAAACCCATTAAAATTAATTGTTGTTCAGTTTGCATACAAATGTAGTTTATCAAAATTAACATTCAAGCTGCTGTAAGTAAAAATCCAAAAAGCATGTTGAGCAACACAAAATATAAAAGCACAGTATTAAAACTGACCATTAGAAGTAAGTGTGATTTAAAAGTACTACTAGTTCGTTATAACAGATATACAAAAATTAGTAATTATTAATATGAACAAATTCACAGGCTAATAACATTGTAAGGCCCCTTTTGAGAAAATAATGAAGTTAACCTTTATTTAATAACCATTTTTTGAAGAATTTTAAAAGGAAACATATAGCATACCTTAAACTCCATGCTTTCTTTTATGTGGACTGTACACTTGATTGGATCACCCAGTTGTGGTTTCCCTAGCCTGGCAATCTTATCATCTTCTGTTAAGTCATCTTCTGGGATGTTGTCATCTATCACCTTGGCACCTTCATTTAAAAGAACCAATCACAAATTAAATACATTCCAATATGTTCACATACATGGACCATAGTTATGTATCAAAAAGAGAAAAGCTAGCACATTATACAGTTTTTAGCTAATGTTATTTCCCAGCAGCTCATGCTCTATTATACAAGCTAACCTTTGAAGCAATTATTTAGTCAATTTCAATTAAATTATAGCTAGCTTAGCACATTCCAAAATGAACTGTTGCAACTTATTTATAAATATGTACATGTATTACTGCCAACTTGTGGTTTCAACAAAGTTTAATTCAAATTAGTACTGGACTAAAGCTATATTAGATGTTATAATAGTGTACATTGAAAAATTTTTTACATTCACATAAGGTAGTCATATTTTAGGCCATTCCTAGTATCATATCACCACTAAGTGTGAAATCACTACTAGGCAGTTACTGGTATGATATCTCCACTAAATTCTTAGTATGTTGTATATTCAAGGCCATTTCTAGTATGATATCCCCAATAAGCTGGACAAAGTATGTTGTACATACAAGGTCATTTCTAGTATGATATCCCCACTAAGTTGGACAAAGTATGTTGAACATACAAGGCCATTTCTAGTATGATATCCCCACTAAGTTGGACAAAGTATGTTGTACATACAAGGTCATTTCTAGTATGATATCCCCACTAAGTTGGACAAAGTATGTTGAACATACAAGGCCATTTCTAGTATGATATCCCCACTAAGTTGGACAAAGTATGTTGAACATACAAGGCCATTTCTAGTAGGATATCACCACTAAGTTGGATGAAGTATGTTGTACATATAAGGCCATTTCTAGTAGGATATCACCATTAAGTTGTACAAAGTTTGTTGCACATACAAGGCCATTTCTAGTAGGATATCACCACTAAGTTGGATGAAGTATGTTGTACATATAAGGCCATTTCTAGTAGGATATCACCATTAAGTTGTACAAAGTTTGTTGCACATACAAGGCCATTTCTAGTAGGATATCACCATTAAGTTGTTCCTAGTATGATATCACTATTATATATGTTTGCACTAATAAACAAATACATTATCTGTGGTAATAGCAATAAACCATTTTACTTAATAAAAAGCCATGCATGATGCTGCTCATACTAAAATAGTAAGTGCATTCTAACAACTTAAACATCGGTAAACTTGGAAAAGCCATGCAAAAATACCACAATGGCAGTTTAACTATGCAGTCTTTCATGCTTTTATGTCATAAAACTGTATATATAAATTACCCTTAGGGATGGAATCCCAAGATTGTCATGGTCACATATATAGGTTAAAATATACTGAATTCAAATTGCAACCATTTTTATAAGCATGAAGATTGTGTATCTTCAAATTGCTTCTATTTACAAAATGTCCCCATCACAAAATTCTTGTCTATTAAACATCGAGATCAAGTATTAGAAAAGATGCCATAACGAATAGAACAAAAAGTTATAAGAAACATCAATTACTGCTAAATGATAAAGACAAGACTGGGTACACAATAATCTGTCCTTATATTTTCTACTGCCCTGATATATATTGCTGAACTAAACACAAGTGGTGGCTGAGTCATCAGCTACCCATGGTTGAGAAAGAAGCACAATAAGTTGCTGGCGTAATGACACTGGCCATCACAGATCCCGAGCCAGATCCAGTCCCCAGTGATTGTAGACTCAATTAATATATGATTATATTTAGTGAGCCTTGAGACAGGAGGAATCTGGCAGAGGTCCGTGTTTGCCACACATTTACTTCCAAAGGTAGGGAGAAGGAGAGGAGGGGCAGGAAATGAGGATTGTAAATACTAAGATCTATATGGTCATTCTCAGGATGAAGGGTTGAGGCAACTGAAGGCATTCAAGGCTTAGATTAACTGTCCATTGAGACTGAGAACTAGGTTGTAGCAACATCTTCTAAGTACATGTTAATTTTGGTAGTTTTGTTACCCTTTATAATGTATAATGTGATTCTCATGAACAGTTTCACAATTCAGACATGGTTTATTTTCTATCTGTTTGAGATCCTCTGTAGACAGTGAACCTAGATTTGGTGGTATAACTGACATAAATAAATCAGAATGCCAATAAAGAGATGACCCTATTTGGAAAAACTTGGATAGAAAGAAAGCTGGTGCTTTATGAGTTCAAGCACATCAAACATATTAAATAAAAAAAATTGCCATAATATGAGTAAACAAGAGCAAAATAAAAATGGCATTTTGGCTCATGTTGGAATTCACCATCTGAAAGGAAGGGGAAAACATCTGAAATTTGAAAAAAATAAATTTTACCATAGAATGATGCAAAAGTTGAAGATATAAATACAACATTTAAGCCTCAAATGACCTTTACAGACGGCAAAGCCAAGAAAGGTAAACAATTAATTATTCATAAGAAACAATCAAAAACTTCGACTTTGACCTTTACCCCTTGCCACAATGCCCATTTCCCGCATCAAGTAGTATATTGTACATTACACTCTCAAATATACCCTACCACCCATCTCAAACAGGTGATTCAGGAGTTACATCTGAAAGTTTTACTTGAATAGACATACAGGTGCAACCACAATAACAACCAAAAAAGATCTCATTCATTGCCTCTAGTATCATCGGATTATCAATATAAATCAAGTGTAATGTTTGATCTGATGGCAATATAGTTTTCTCTCTTGCAGTCAGCTGCCTAAGAATTGTAGAAGATAGTTGGGATAGTTTGAAGGACATCCATGCAACATTCAGCTCCACCTATATTTGCGGAAGATTATAAGGGGTATAGTTGTACAATCACATGTGGTTACTATAGCAACAGGGGTGTGTCCAGGGAAACAGGAAATCCTTCAATCACAATATGTTGGAACTTGTGCTTGAAGGAAGAGAATTCTCGACACATCCCTGGATCTCATTGAAATAACACTGAACATTCATCCTTAAATGAGCTGTCTTAGATGAAGAGGGGAGAATACCCAAAATTCAAAGATAAACCTATCTTAATATAAAGTTGAACCTCTAGGTCAAATTTGAATTATGGGTTATTTCCTCATCTTCCTTATATATAAGAATAAAAGATAACACTGAACATCCATCCTTAAATGTTGTCTTATATGTGAGAATAAAAGAAAACATTGAACATCCATATAGCTGTACCTTCCTCCTCTGGTTCAGGGCTCAACAGTGGCAAACATGCGGCACCCTGTGCTAAACACAAATGGTAATGTTAAACAACTAAATATAAAACAGGTGATTCACATAGGATGGTGGTGATTCACATAGGACGGTGGTAAAGGGTGGAGGGAAACATTACTGTAAAGACATAATGGAACTAAATGGGTAAGGCTGCTCAATTGTTTAAATTGAGTACTTCAAACAAGGAAGGCACAATTATTAACCACTTGGCTTTAAAAACAGCCAATTTACAGCAACCACATTGTACATGTATATGGTAAGTCATATAGGTAAGTTAAAGATGAACAGTCTTGGGTTATATTTTGTAAATGGGATTGAATGGATAAGTTTGGTATTGGGGTATTTCATTAATATAAAAACACAGGAGTTATGTATTTTAATAATATATTCCTCATTCATGTATGTACCCAATCTAGCCAAATTACTTTTCTTAAATTGAACAAAAGTTTATGTTTTACTTCTATCCTCCAATATTTATACAAAACCAATCATTATATAGAACTATAATTCCCCCCGAAACAAAATTCATAATCAGGCAAATCATGATCGCATAACACAACACATTTCCATAACCGAACTAACATTTAAAGCTAAGTAATAAATCTCCAAAACAAATCACATAAATATTCAATCATCTTCCTCTGTATCGTTCATATGAACAATAGCAAGAGAAACTTCAAATTCCAATGACACTGACTTCACAACTTCGTAAACAACAAACATGAACAATATGTAAAGCATTTCCCTAATGGTAAATCATATATGACTACAAATACCATAGGGAGTAAGTCACCCCTCCCTCCCTCTTTTATTCTGAAGCCTATATTTTTAATATAAAGAATATTAGAAGGGGGTGGGGGTTGGGACTTACTCCCCGTGACATATACCAACTGAAGGAAGACCAATCTGGACAATCTTGGTACAATTAATGCAACAGCTTCTTAACAAGCAACTGATAAAATAATTTTATATTTGGAACTAATTGCTACAAAAACTGCTGTGTAATCCCGAACAATGTAAAAAGCAAAAATATAAAGGAAACGCCATCAACAAGAGGGCCTAATAAAAGCTACAACTGGAGTTAGCTGAAAATATAATTCAAGCTGACATCATGATGTCATGACTCCATTGTACGTCAATGCATTATGATGTCAGCTTCATAGTTAAAACAGCCAATAGGTATTTCTAGCAACTCAGTTTTTCCAGCACAGTTAGATATTCTTGTACTGTTGTGGAAATTCTGATATTGTCTGAATCCATTGTCTGAAAATTCTTATTAATTCTAGCTACCAGGTATTACACCTCAACAAAAGTTGGCATTACACTAGAACAACCAAAGTGTTACACTACAGCTTAGATACTTATCTTGATCATCTTGATCCACTGAGAAAAATAAAAGAGTAAAGATAAAGGAAGAGGACGACATTCTAATAAATTGTTCAACTAGGCAAGCTGTATGACTATATAGTAGTCCTGATTATATAGCTGTATGACTATATAGCAGTCTGATTATATAGCTGTATGACTATATAGCAGTCTGATTATATAGCTGTATGACTATATAGCAGTCTGATTATATAGCTGTATCACTATATAGCAGTCTGATTATATAGCTGTATGACTATATAGCAGTCTGATTATATAGCTGTATGACTATATAGTAGTCCTGATTATATAGCTGTATGACTATATAGCAGTCTGATTATATAGCTGTATGACTATAAAGTAGTCTGATTATATAGCTGTATGACTATATAGTTGTCTGATTATATAGCAGTCTGACCATATAGTTGTCTGGCT